AAAGATGTGGGGTTCATCTTCCACATGGGAAATGGGTGGTGGTCAATTTTCTCCTCCCTAGTCTGTCCCCTTCCTCATTATTAGGTTAAAAAAAAAAGAAAAGAATCATAGTCATCAACCTTTAACAAATAAAAAAGGGAAATATAGAAAATGATATATTTTTTCTATTTGTTAAAAAGAAATATATAACTGTCAAATTTTTAGTGATGGTCAACACGAAAATAGATGCAAAATCGATAAATATTTAAGCATTTTTTTTCATTCTTATTGTTATCTTGAAAAAGAAAACTAAAAAGGAAAAAAAAAGAAAAAGAAAAGGAAGAACTTCCCATTAACCTAAGCTTTACACATAATGCCTTTACTTTACTTTTCTTTTACTTATTTCAATCTCTTCACCCCATCACTTCCTTGTTCTTTCCCAATGTTATGAATTATAATTATAGAGTTGGCCAAAACTTATATCAAATATGAAATATCAATGGTGATTTCTTTTCACATCCCAATTTTCTTGTCCCCTCCCCACTTTGGGATGGAAACTTAGAAAATTGTATAGTGTATATTAAAGTTTGAGTGGTTTGTCCCATTAATTAATTTGGTCTTTTCAATCGAGACTCGTCAAATTAATTAAGATAAATATAAATTTAATATTAGATTAAATGTTATGGGTTGAATTTATAATGAGGTATAGTGTATGAATAAGTATAAGATACTAATTTGGTTATTTTTAGGTTTCTAATATTTTTTAAATTGAGCTTGTTTACCTTAATTTTTCTCTTTTTGAAAAGCATAAAGTAGATTTGTGAGAGCTATTATTGAAACTTTGGTTAATTTTAAAAGAGTACGCGTGGTTCTAAAAAATAAAAACAGAATAGAAATTGTTGGTGTATAAATAATTCAAATGAAGTTTCTATATATATTGATGGAAATAATTTAGGCTGAACATTGATGAAATATAATAGCAAACCATATTTTTAGTTGAATCAAATTCATTTCAATTTTATAGTATAAAAAAGACCAAATGTATCCCATGGTCCCTATTCTTTAACATTTTTCTATGATCCTTAATCTTTTAAATTTTTTTTTTTTAATTTTGTTATCAACGTATTAGAAGTTCTCAATTAAGTCCTTATTATCTACCTATATTTGTTAACATTTGTTGACATATAACAAATGTGTCATTAAATTATCGTCTCTGATGAGAATAATTAGTAAAATAATTATTTATCAAATATTTTATTAGTTGGGTTTCATGTGTCAATGTGTCAATAATCTAAGTAGCATGTTCACGTGTCTAAATATATTAATAAAATAATTATTTATCAAGGGTTACCAAATTTTCACGAAAATTTGGAAAGGACGTTAAAATTTTAATACATTTGAGAATTTTAAAAGATGGAGTATTAAATTGAAAGTTAACTTAAAGAATATGTTTTTTATATTTAGATTATATATATAAAGTTGACATTCAATTAGTTTCTAGAAAAGTTCCTCTAATAAAAAAGAAAAAATCTAAAACTTTCGTTGAGGGCTTCAGGCTAGGCCCAAAACGAGTTTGGAAATGCGGGTTATGTTCATTTTAGTGTGGGCCAAATACGGCCCATATTCAATCATTTCACTTTATTATTGGTTTCCTTTTCCATAAATATGCAGAAATTTGTAATGGGCATTTAATTACTCTTTTTCTTTTATTGAAATTCTAAAATACTGACTTTATTGCCGTAATTCAAAATTATTACCGCATTTAGTTCACAATTCACATATCAATCAATCAAATTAACTGCCAAACCATGCAGTTAGGTGGTTAAGACATTTATCTCTGATCAAGTGGTCATGAGTTCGAACCTCCACCTCCACATGTTGTATTAAAAAAAAATCAATCAAATTAACTATATTTAATTATTTAATAACGGTGTATAATTCCATAAGTAATTTCTTTTTAAGGTTGAAATTTTGATCTCCGCCATGTTTATTGAACTAAAAAATTTATTCAATCAAAATCCAATTGGATTTTCTCAAAAAAGAAAAAAAATAAAGAAAAAGAAGAAAAGGAATTCAATTGGACAATTTTAGTAATTTTGTTTGGTTGAGTTTGCCCTTTCTTGAATTTCATCCCTTAATAAAGTAATTTTATTTTTTTGCAATCAACCCTAAATATCAATTTTAGCAGTTACATATAAAAATTACCCGAACAGTATCATTATTTTTATTTTGTTCCTCCTACCATTAGCTACAAAGTCAAAGTTTTATCAAATTGACAATAATACCTTGAGAAATAACTCACTTTCAGTATAAAATTAAATTTAAACATGGTGAATAACTTTGCAAGAAAAATTAAATATAAAAAATAATTTACATATTCTCAGCTATTAAAGAGCAGATATTAAAAGGGAAAAAAAATGGAGAAGATGCAYAGAAATGTAATGAGAAGAATGGGAAATTTAAACCAGGAGTGTTTAAAAAATCTGATGACCCAATTAATCCTCTCTCTATATATATAGATACTTTTAAACTTACCGGATTGAGTCCAAATAAATAAAAATTCTATGGATTTGATGGATTTAAGAATTCTTCTCGAGTGAATCCAACTAACTTAAATTTATTATTAATTTTAAAATCATATACTTTTACTTACCATAAAACTATAAATGAATATATTTATTTTAATTTTATCTCATTCAATAATTCTTTATCAACCGTTTATTCTCCAAAGCTTTTAAAAATARTTTTTTAAGTTCGTCTATCGTAAATTTTTACTATATAAATAAATATCAATTTTATGTATCTCGATTCAATGATAGGGAATATGTAAATAAAACGTTTAAGATATTATCGTTTATTATTTTTGTCATCTTAAATGAGTAACTCCAATAATTCGAAAAACCAAATTCAAATATTTCATGGTTGGTTGGGTTGAATTCATTATTTAATTAATAAAGATGATTTGAATTGAATAAATTTATAACATGAACAATTAAGTTAAGTCTAGAGAGTACTTCAATCCATCGGATACCCCTCTAATTTAAACATAAGAAATACAATCATATTCAATCATAAATAATTGAAAAAAAAGTATAACAATAAAAAAAAAGGACAAACGAGAAAAAGAGTGAAAATGATGGTTTAAGAAGAGCTTTTAATTTCTTCATGAGATGTGTCACCTTATTTCCAAAAGTCTCCTACGTTACCTCTCACCGCCATTGAAATATAAAATATGAACAACTTTCAATATCGATGTGAATGCCTATTTTTTTTCTTCAATACAATTTATATTCTTTCGTTTTCCCCCTCTTTTTAAATCTAGAATTATATAAAAATTAGTATGAATGAGATAATAATACTTAATCTTAATAAAATAAGATTTATTGACTTTTTGTTGACACTTTTTTTATAAATTATTTTAGGTGTTTACTTGAAAATAGAGATTAGAACATGAGGGKTTGTTTTTATCAACTGAAATTGAATATCCGTGAAAATATTGTCCAACAAGTTTTTAAAAAGAACGTGACTATAGCTCAACAGTTAAAGATGTTGTGAATTCGATAATCCACACCACAAAAAAGGAAAAAAAACCAATTTAATAAAATTGAAAGCCTAGTGAAAAAAAATTCATTCATTTTGTCACGTTAAAGAGTAAAATTGAACTTTTTTCTTAAGAATTATTAAATAGCAATAAATTTKAATACAACATTAACTATTCAATAAATGAGTTTGGCCTCACGAGCCTAATTGAGATTTCTCTATATGTCTTCAAATTAAATTGGAATCTTTAATTCATTTCGAATGAACAAAACAATTTTGAACTAAAAGACAAAAAAAGTAAAGATTTTTGAAGAAAAAAGAAATAAAATGAAAAGTCAACGGAGGCCACGGTGGCGGTTTTCTTTTGGGTCAGAAAATATGAACACGCACATGCCGTGTCCTCAAAACGAGTACGAAAACGAAATATATAATTATATTCCCAACAGGCTAATAAAATAACTCAGCCGCGTTGAAAATTTCCAAATTTTAGATCTTTATTTTATTAAAACGAGATTATTCTATATGTTCTTTTTTAATAAATAAATTTTCTAATAATGTCGCTTTGCTAAGCCCAAAACGAAGTAGGTTCTTCTCATATGCATTTTGCTCAATAATCTCTCAAATATTTCATGTAATTGAAAGCCGGATGTATTTTTATTCACCCAAATGACCAAATTCACAGCAACTTATATCGATTTAACGTGGTTAGATAGAACTTTTAAAAATAAAGTTAATAAACACAAATCCGACCTATTAAAAAAATGTTTTATAGCATTACGAGACTCTACTTTCTATTTATGGAGAGGAAAACTTCAAATCTCATGGATATATCTTCTTCTTTTGAATATCGGGAATTTGAGAGTTTCGAGTTAGAAAAATCTAATAACCATTCAAAAGAACCAAGAAAATGAGGCTTTAGCTAAGTAGACTAGTCTCGAAGACTAAGGTTGGCTTTATGAGGAACTCTACCTATGTGGTCGACTCAACCTCATAGTCTTGCCTTATATAGACTTGATTCAAGGTGCGTGGTCCGTGTATCGGATTTGAGGGTTCATGCATACCAGAGAGTTCAATCTTTTAGATTATTTTAGATCAACATCTTTGAATGACTTCGATCAATTCATTTATAGATTAAAACTTTACTTTACCCGTAACACATCCTGAGTGTAATCAAATCCAACAGTAACACATCCTGAGTGTAATCAAATCCAACATTCACATCTATTAAAAAGCTTAATATTTAAACTAAACACTACATTAATATAAACCGAGTGTTCGATATATACTTTATTGCATATTGTAGTATGCTTGAATTGGTTGTGGTAAATTTTCAATATCGAAAAGGTAGTTTCACAAGAAAAAACACCTCATCACATAACCACTACAAAACACAAATACATACAAAACCAAAAAACAAGTTTTCAAAATAGCTCGACTTTTCAATATCCATTTCCATGAGAAGGTTCCTACAAACTTCCACTACGCGTATCAACCAACTTCCTTCTCCATTTATATACCACAACCTCCCCTCCCATTTATTCCCATATCATTTCCCTCCTCATTTTCTCGATAATTTCCTACTAGCTGGGCAACAAGAATTCTTATATTGGAGTGATCACCCTCCTTTTTCCGCCATGGCCGATAAGCAACCCCAATTGAACGGCGCCTTCTATGGCCCCGCCGTTCCTCCTCCGACGAAGACCTACCACCGCCATGGCCACGGCCGTGGCTGCGCATGCTGCCTCCTCAGCACCTTTCTCAAGCTCGTTGTCACCATCGTCGTCGTCGTCGGTCTCGCGGTGTTGATCCTATGGCTCGTATTCCGTCCCAACGAGGTCAAGTTCCACGTCACCGATGCTAAGCTCACCCAATTCAACCTCACCGGCAACCAGCTCCATTACAACTTGGCTCTAAACCTCACCATCAGAAACCCCAACAGGAGAATTGGAGTTTATTATGATACCATTGAAGCCTCCACGTTTTACAAAGACCAGAGGCTGAACACCAATTGGCTGCCGCCGTTCTACCAAGGCCACAAGACCACGACCGTCCTCACCACCAACTTCAACAGCCAGCCGGTGGTGGTTCTCGGCGGCAACGACATGGTCGAGTTCAACGCCGAGAAGCTCGCCGGCGTCTACGATATCGACGTCGATTTCCGTCTCCGGTTGAGGCTGAAGTTCGGCGTCGTTAGGATCGGAAAATTCAAGCCAAAGGTCAGGTGTGGATTGAAGCTTCCGGTGAGCTCCGACGTGAACTCTGCTGTTCCGTTTCAGACCACTCGCTGCGACTTTGATTTCTGATTGGCTATTCCCGTTTTGACTCAGTCAACCCTAGATGGATTTCTTTGACTGAGTCAACTCTCTATGTAGTTTGATTTTGATTATTTTTTCATTGGTTTTGTTTATGTGTTGATATATATATATATATACTCTCTACCTTTTCGCTGGTGGTTTATTATTTTTGTATAGGTTTAAATAAAATATTCTATTTCTAGTTTTGTATTTTCGTCGGAATGGATTTGCTATTTATTTTTAAAATTCAGATCTTTTTTTTTAATCTAAAGCAAATAACAATATGAAATACCTTTTTAGTAGTACAACTCATATATTCGGTGATTTAAAAGAAAAAAAGAGTTATACTTTGCGTTTAAAAGCATTTTCATTTTTTAAAAAAATCTTAATCACTGGAAGAATGGATAATATAAGCATAAAAAAAAGTTTCAAATATCTTAATCACGATAAGCAACCGAAGCAAAGCAAAGGGCCAAAATAATTATATTTTTAAAGTTCAAAAGGGTAATAAAATAGATATTTTAAAAGTTTAAGGAAAAAAATGAAACAAATTTAAAAATTCAAACATCAAAAAATATTTTAAAAGATCTAAAATAATAAAATTGAATAATTATCAAAGTTTAAAGATGAAAATAAATTTCAGCCTGATTCATTTTCTCTGAGCTCCATATAAACGAAATATAAAAAAATAAATAGTATTCTTTGAGAGTAGAGCTGTAAAAAGAAGAAGAAAAAAGAGGGAAAAAAACTCTAACGAGCTCAAAAAGTTTGGTACGCCTTGTTATAAGCATTCAAGAAAATTTCTACTTTTTACTAGCGGTAAAGATTTGAAGTTTTTGAAAAATAATTGGCTCGTAAGAGCGATTTTGTTCTCGCTAGTACTATTAAATATTTGACAACAAAGAGAAAGAAATGCAAAAACAAACATTTTTTTAAATAATAGAATGAATTATCAAATTTTTAATAATGGTGAAGATAAAACTTGATCTCCACACTGAAACGAAGTATTATCTTATTAAATGTAGAAGTTCCATCGCCGTTCGGATGTTATATTTAGCAGCCATTTGGGAAATTTTTATTTCAACTTGTTAATTTGTTTTTATAAATTAAATCAACTAGTTTTGAGATGTGTCGCAATATTGATGTGAAGTTAGATTTTTTATTTTTTATTTTTCTAAAAAAGCCAAACATTTCTCATCACTATATTTCCTTCTATTTTGTAGTTAAAAAGTTCCCTATATTTTTATTAATGTAAGATCTAGTTTTTGAAAATAAGGGTTTAATCTCTAAACTTTCAAAGTAATAATAATGGTCAATTATCATTAAAATTCTGTTAGGATTATACATAATAGTATAAATGTGTTTTTCAACATTTTCTTTTCCTTTTAATTTTGATTTTCAATGGTCCAAGTACATGATCAAACCCCAATTTTTAATGATTTTCTAAACTATTTACCTGAATAGCATAAAATTATTGGAAAAGAAATTTAGAATTTATCCGTAATTAATTCACCCTTCCAATTTCACCATCAAAATAATCGCAAATTTTATCATCTATTCAAATGTCTACTAATTCATTCAGTAATTTTAACAAAGTACAATTTAAAATCTTTAAGAGAATTGAGAATCAAGTTTCCAACTAAAGTAAGTTGGATTAATATTCAAGTACCCGGAAACTCTTTCAAAACTCACAATAAATAAATAAATATATTATACGTTTCCAAGTCATATCAGATATATATTTATTCAATGAAAGTACACGAAAACATTTTGTTATATTATTTATATTAAAGTTATATTAAATTTGATACATGATTGTTGTAAGTGGGGATAGCTCAGTTGAGAGAGCGTCAGACTGAAGATCTGAAGAAGGTCACGTGTTTGATCCACGTTCACCGCATTATTTTAAAAAAGTATAAAGATTGTGATTTCTTGAATTTAAGATTTTAAAAAGATAAATAAAGGTTCCACTAATTTTCTTTTTTCATTATCATATTAATTAATAATGAAAGGGAATTTTCCATTTAAAAAATGAGACACCATCGGTTCGCATCGAAGATTCAAAAGATACAATTTTAGGATGACATCAAAATATTGCTGCTTCTTTATGGCCATCTAAAGCATCTTTTTTTTTTTTTTTTAATTATAATATTTATACTATCTCTCTAATTGCTTTTATGTAGCATGTATGACTTACTGGAATGAAAAGTTTCTATTTTTGAAAAAATTTATGGCTAGATGTGGAGATTCTTCTCAATAGGCTATTCACTCAAGTATTTAAAAAAAAAAACGACATTTGAGTCGATATGTCGTCGACATTAGAGAAAAATGACTTTTTCTCCGTGTCGATGTTGAGCATCTCGACATTTAAAACCATGTTGCTGCTTTAGATGCCTTTTAAAAGTTGGTTGATTTTTTTAAGAAAAAAATTTAGTTACTTTTTAATTGCTTTATTTTCTGTATAGATTCGAGTATTTTTATAGTAGAGTTTAGACATCCAATTGATAGAATTTTGTTTATTGACTAAATCTTGTGTGACTTATTTGTCAACTTATGAAAAATTTTGAAGGATATATTAACCCCACCACTTATTCACATATAAAGTCGAATTTCATTAAATCGAAAGTTTTAGTTAAAAATAAATTTAAACAAGTTTGTATAAGATAAAATAAAGTGGAAAGAAACAAAGCAAATCTAAAGAGACAATGCTATATATCTTGATTTCCTTTTCATAGATAGAGGCTTCTCTCAATTGTGAGAATTAAAATTTACGACTTATAAGAAGAATGATGGATGCCGAAGTTAGCAATTTGGATATAGTAAATTTGATAATTATGGTTTGATTTTTTTTCTTTTGACAGGGATAATTATGGTTTGATACATCGGTAAAAAAACAAGTATTAAACAAATTTCCCAAAAGTAAAATATTCATGATAAAATAAATTATCAAACACATTTTTTTATATTTTTAATACAATAAGTGGAATGGGAGATCGAACTCACAATCTCTTGGTTGAAACACGTTTTGATTATCTGTTTTTCAAAGTCAATATAGTGTTGCATTATTATTAGAATAAAATTAGATGTATACATGTGCATAAGCACAAAAATGAAATCTTAATTCCGGCGGTGTCTTTAATTGATCTATGATTTTACCCTTTCAAATTTACATTTTGTTTCCTACAAAAATGGCAAGCTGTGACGTTATAGAAAAATTTCAATTTGATTTTCTAAAATGATCATTCATCTCTATTTGTACCAAAATCTTGACCTCCCAATAACTCCCATATCATTAATTAATTTCCCTCCGCATTATTAATTCTTTCTCTACCATGGCAACCAAATAATCACTACAAGAAATGTATCATTAGCGACGAAAGATAAGCGGCCAAATACTTTTCGTCGCATATTAGCGACGAAAATTGATTTCGTCGCTAAAAAATGCGACGAAACCAATTTTTGTCGCTAATATATGCGACAAAATTTATTTTCTTCGATTATATCAGCAACGAAAAACGATTTCGTCGCATTCGTTAAATGGAATGACCGCGTTTCCAACTCAAAACGACGTCATTTTGACTTGCGACGAAATAAATTTTCGTCGCTAGCCCCATAAAATCCCCCCAGCCCTAATATATTCCCCATTTTTTCTCTCCTTTTCGATTCTCATCCCTCTCTCTGTGTCGTTTTCTGCTCTCTTGGTCGGCCATCGGAGACTACGCAAGAATATTGGACATTTTTTTGCATTTTTCTTGCCGGAGGTCGCTCGGGTTGAGTACATGGGTAAGTTTCTTCCTTTTAAAACTTCATTTAGTTTGTTTTGTGCTAGAATCTCTTTTTTTTTTATATTTCTTTGTTCGTGGTTGCTAGGGTTTGCTCAAATCTCAATTTCGTGCTCGTGCTTGCTCAGGTTTGTTTCTTTCCTTTTAAAATTAGTTGAGGCAATGTAAAAAATTGATGATATTTGTTTGCATATTTGTGGATTTGGTACCCATTTTTGTGATGAATATGATGTTGAAACCATGGGGTAGAATACTGTCTTTACGAATTTTTTGTCCTTTATTCTTCTATTGCATAGTTTGAGATTTGTTCTTTTTTTTTTTTTAGTTTTCTAGAAAAAGTTTAGCATAGATTATTCTAAAGTCACTTTTGAGAACGAACAGTTTGAAAGTTTGTTTGAGTAGAAGAAATATGTAAGAAATTTATTTGAAATTTATTTTCAAGAAAGGAAGATGACATAATTGTAATTTGAACTTTTCGAGCTTGAAGTTTTATATTCACGGATGATTGAATAAATAAATTTGAAGAGAAATTTGAGGTTAGTAAATCGATGACTCCGGATATTGACAAATTACTGATGTAGTATGTTATATTGTTTATGTTTGTTTATAATTTATATTATTGACTAATCCTAAAATACTTTAAAATACTTTGACCGACAAAGGATGAGACCATTATTGGAATAACACAAGGTAGGAGAGAAACTTGTGGCGATTTCTTAACAAGAATTGTGTTAAGTATATGTCTAGAATTATGGGGGATTGTGTCAAGTATATGAGACCATTATTGGTTTTGTGTATTTTGAGTTTATGGATATGGAGGTTGATATTATGTAACAAATTATGGTAAAGAACGAACTTTATCAATGGGTGGTATAAGACTTAAGTGTGTAGTTATGAATTAAAGTTGAGATTTAGGTATGTCTCAATAATATCTTGAAATTAGTATCATGATGTTGTGGTTTCGCTCTTAATTTTAAAATTTATGTATGTATGTATGACATGATTTGTGCATGCTTAATGAAAGGCGAGGAGGGTATAGTTAATTAATTTGAGATTTATATATGTGACTTACACATGTTTAAGTTGGTTATCGGTACTCTAGTTTTTAGGTAAGTTCATGTATTGCAATTGTTTTAGTTTAATTATTTATATATGTTTCACTTAAGTTTGAGGATTAAGTATATTTGGAGTATGTTTTGTGTTCTGAGTTTTCAGACGTGAGTGATTCTTATAATTCTTTATTCAAATTTTAACAACTATGCAATTTTTTGTGCAGTATTGAAGTGACGGTGGTGGCACCATATTATGAAAGCTGGGTCATAATGGAGAAGCTTTTTTTAATTGTTTTCACGAACTTGTAAATATTGTGGATAATGAGTATTGATGAATTAATAAAAATTATATTATTATCAAAATTTTAAGTTTTTCAAATTTAGTGTTGAATCTTGGAAACGTCCCTACCTTTTGTGACAAAATGGAACTTCAAATTTGCAAAAAAGACAAATTAAAAATAAAAAAGAAAAAAAAGAAAAAAAAATGCGACGAAAATAAGAAACGTCGCAATTGAAACTTGCGATGAAATTTATTTTCGTCGCTATAGCGATGAAACTCCTTTCGTCGCAAAGTTGGCGATGCAAATGCCTTTCGTCGCAAATATTGTGACGAAAGCGCCTTTTCGTCGCTGAAGACCTTCAGCGACAACGTTTCAGCGACGCTTCTTGCGACGAAAGCGTTTTCGTCGCTGAAGACCTTCATCGACGCAAAAAGACTTTCAGCGACGAAAATATTTCGTCACTGAAAGTCATAATTTTTGTAGTGAACAGCCCCACCTGAGCGTCGTCTTCTACGGCCTCGCCATCCCTCCTTCGGTGAACATGCGCCACCGCCACGGCCGCGTGGTTGCCCCATCATCGCTCTTCTGCCTTCTATTGAGTTAGAATAAATATGTCTTCGAACTATCTCTTTTAAATTAAGAGGGTATGTTTTCGCTCCAATCTCAGCCATCCTTTGTTTTGATTCTACATATTGATCATTTTGAACTAAAGAACTTTTTTTTTTTAGTACAATATGTGGGGATGGGGGTTCGAACTCATGACCTTTTGGTCAGAGATAAGGCAGCAACTAAAAGTAAATTTTTTGGTGGAATAATGACGTTATGTCTAATAACTTCACTCTTAAACATACAAAGTCTATATAACATGAAAAAGTAGGATGCTCATGACGTTTGATTTGTGATTCATTGGTAGTTCTTGAATTTTTATATAATATACAGAAAGAAAGTAACAAGAGTTCACTTTTGTTATTGTAGAGTGGATTTACATATGCATAAAAAAAATTTCAGACAAAAACTATTTTCTAACTGTTCCATATATGTCTACTTCGACTCAAATGAGAATTCTGATGAAATTGCATAGAACTAAAAGTTTAGATTAAATTGTAACAATGTTATAATTTTAGTGTTTATTTAAAAAAAAAAACTATAAGTTTAGGGGTTAATTGCAACAATCCTGATAGTTCACGGGTGGTTGATCATTACACTGTTAGATTATGGGAGAGAAACCATAAAAGTCACTTAAAAAAAGACATTCTTTGATGGAAAAAAGGTAACATTATTTTTAATATTGCAAATGTGGGACGAAAAGCTTTTACGTCGCAAAAATTGCTACGAAAATCGAAATCGTCGTAAAATTTGCAACTTTGTAAAAGAGAAAGGGAATGGAATTAAATGTTTTATCCATGCCACATCAACCTTCGTTGTTGTTACATTTAATTCCCAACTTATTAAAGGGAATAAAACATTTAATTCCCAATTTCTTGATTCCCATTTCCTTGAAGTATGTGGGGCCTAAGAGAAGAGATTTTTAGAGAGAGCGAGGCAGTGAAGGGGATAGTAGACAGTGGTTCATTTTGAAACATGAATCACTCTTCTCCTCGTTCAGGAGCCTGTTCACTACTTTATCATCTTAGTATTTAATTATTTCGTAAAATATCACTAACGATTTCACTCCTCAACTTTTTCACCGTTGAGACATACTCATTTATGATGAAATGTCACGCAACCCAAAATGTCAGATTAATTAAATTACTCCATAAAACAGAAACAAATAAGAATTCGAGCTTAATTAGAAGGCCTGAATTTAATCTTCCAACAACATTTTAACAGAATTTTAATTTGTTTGTTTTCATTTAAATAATTTGTTTAATTAAGGAAATAATTGTCTATTCTGCGTTTTTTTTTTAGTTCAATAGGAATTCAACAATTTCAACTTCAATTACATTTGTGATTTTCTTATCTTTCCACATAAAATTATTGTTTATGGGTTAGATTAAACTTTCAAGTTTTAACAGAGGAAATTAATAATGTAAAAATTATAATATGAAAGAAACAGAGCAGCCTGTTCGGTTAAGGGAGCTTCCTCGTCCATGTAAAGAAAAGAAGAAAGAGGAAGCAAGAAAAAGGAAAGAGAAGAGAAAAAGGGAAAAAGATGTCACAAACTTAAAAATAATATAAAATTAATAAATATTTTCGTATCATCTGAAAGTTGTAAATTTATCCATACCACATCAACATTACGTTGTTGTTATATTGTTGTTGATATTAATGGAAGCCTGAGTTCAAAGATCTTTTAAATATATTTTTTAAAGGTTAAGAACAATATGGTCAATTTAAAAATTTAATAATTAAATAGAAACATATTCTCAAACTATTTTTTTTTTTATCGAATGTATTGGGTTTACCAAAAGAAGGTCAACAGATACAATTATTTGGTTTTGGTCGGATAAAAAAAATGCAAAATACCTTAGTTCTCAATGCTGAAGACAAAATTAAAGTCTTTGCATTGACATTTCTCTCCGTAATCGCATTATACGACTCGTCTTTAAATGGAGAAGGATAGGGGAAGCTCCGACTATGTGCCCCGTGAGGTTCGAATCAGGGAAGAGTATCCCCGTTTAACTACAAAGCCACTACAACACCACCACGGTGGTATTAACTGTTTGGTCTTGGTCAGCCAGAAAAAACAAAAACATAAATTAATCTTTGTCCCCATTACATCTTAGAAAGCCAATGGAAAAAGGTTCTCCAACGGACCCATATTAATTCTCCGGCTGCAGAATCAGATTCCCAATCAGTGTTTTTGCTCCCAAACCGCCGCCTCGCCGCCGGTCCGGTAACTTCTCATCTCCCAATTCAATCCACTCTCTCCACCATGCCCGGCAAGCAACCGCCGTTGAACGGAGCCTACTACGGCCCCGCCGTCCCTCCTCCGTCGCAGACCTACCACCGCCACGGCCATGGCCACCGCCGCGGCTGCGGCTGCTTCCACTTCACCACCTTTCTCAAAATCCTCGTCACCATAATCATTCTCGCCGGCCTCGCCGTCCTCATCATATGGCTCGTATTCCGCCCCAACAAGGTCAAATTCCACGTCACCGACACTAAACTCACCCAATTCAACCTCACCGACAACCAGCTCCGTTACAACTTGGCTCTAAACCTCACCGTCAGAAACCCCAACAACCGCATCGGAGTCTATTACGATACCATCGAAGCCGCCGCCGTTTACAAAGACCAGAGGCTCCAAACCCAGTGGCTGCCGCCGTTCTACCAAGGCCACAAGACCACCGCCGTTCTCGCCCCCACGTTCGACGGCCAGCAGCTGCTGCTCCTCGCCGGCGAGGGGCTTACCCAGTTCAACGCCGAGAAGGTCGCCGGCGTCTACGATATCGACGTCGAGCTTCGGCTTCGGATACGACTGAAGTTCGGCGCCGTTAGGGTCGGGAAGTTTAAGCCGAAGGTGGGCTGTGAGTTCAAGGTTCCGCTGAGTACTTCCGGTGGAAACCCAGTTCCTCCGGTGTTTCAGACCGCCGGCTGCGATATCGATTATTGGTGACTTTAATTTCATTTAATTTTATTGTTTTGTTTTTCTCATTGTTGTGTTGTCGTTGGCCTGGTAATTTTATTTTATTTTATTGTATTTAAATAGTTTGGCTGTTGGTTATTTTTTGTGTTGTGTGTATAAATTTAGTTGGTTGGTCATTTCTTTGTTCTTCATTTTGTTGTTTAACAGAAATATTGTATTAACAATTGGGATACCTTGATTATCTATTAGGACAAAAACGACAGGATGCAGTTGCCGTCTAGTAATTTAACAACTATCTCTTATTCACCATCACGACGTACCAAAAATATTTCACAATAATATCGTATTGTCCACTCCCGATATAATTCTTACAATTTTATTTTTAATTTCATCTAAAAGGTCACATAAAAAAGTATCCAAGAAATTACCGGTAGATTTTAGCTTCCTCTTTTGATTTTACTCATAAAAATCCTCCATACACAAAATACCTTGTAAAAAGTAAATTTGTTTAGTAAAGTTTTAAATCAGTGTTTTGTTTATTATTGATTCAAAACATTTAGCAAATTTCTATATAATTATCTATTTTTAATCATCACGTAAATTTTGTCCCTAACAAATTTATTTTATAATTGTTTTCATCTATATACTATGGATTATTTTTTATCTCATGTGAGACTTTGTTTACATTCCTCGCAAACTCAAACATGAAACTCGGTTATATATTGTGTGGCCACTTCTACAAATAATTTTTCCTAACCATGGAGGGTAATGAAGGATACCTAGATGAACAAGGTTCTTATTCACGGCAAATAAATTATTTCTCCATAACTATTTAGAATTGTCATTTTTTTTAGTCCAACAATTTAGAGAGTTAAATGAAACATAAAGGGGATTTGATTTCATAAGAAATATTGTTCAGTAATCTTGAATAGGATTTTGGTGTCATTAAATAAACATAATGCAAATAATTGGAGAGATATGGGGTGAAGGTTATATTAATATACGTTTCAAAATAGCAACGACTAAAAAAACACTTTGGTATTTAGGATGGATCAGATAAGGTTTTTGCGGCCTAAATCTTAAGTCTTAAATTTTTTCCAATCTTTGTTAAATATAGAAAAACTCTCATTCTTGTTATTCCTCTCGAGGATATATATTCATTGGCCTAACAAAGTGTCAACAAAAAATTATCAACTTGATAACATTATGTACTTGTTCTCTAATATTCTTTAGCTTCAATTAATTAAGGTCGCCAAACTAAGCATAAGTCAGCGATAATTAACATAAGAGGTTTTTAGTAGGGATGTTTATAGGATGGGTGAAAACATTTTTTTTTATTACCCAGGAGTCGGTAGCCTCCATAATCCTGGAGTATACACACTATTCCCAGACTTGTACATACGCAAGAGGTCATTGTTTGGTTGAAGTTGCATTCCATATGGTTGGAACCCAAAACCTCAAGGATATTCCTTGAGACCCCAAACCACTCAAGTCATCTCTTTATCCATCCGAAATTTTGCAGGGACAAGGGCAGAGATTTCCTATGGAAAATTCGTAGGGATCGAGCACGTCGTGGAATTTTTTTTTTATTTTCTGAAATTATTTCTCAATTAAAAATTTCTTAGGCCCCTTTGACTTTGATAAAAAATTCTTAAAAGTTAAAAGTTAAGCTGGTAAATAATCTTATTTTGAAAAGTTATTCCTTGGTTCTACGAATCGAGTATTTGGATGAATGGGCTTTCTCAAAAGAGAGAAAAAAAGGTCTATGGGTTGCGCCATAGGCATTGATATATTAGAGATGGGCTATTCTTTTGGATCAGACGAAGGTGATTTATTTATTTATATTATTATTATTATTATTTTAGTATAACAAATTGGTGGTACGAGATTTTGACCTCGAATTATAAAAAAAAAGTAATGTCAATGACTGTTGAGGTATGCTTATTTTGGTATAAAGATGATGGCTAGAGATATTAGATTTTGATGAAACATACTTATATTTCTAAAATCTTAGGCACGTGTACTTATCCGCAATCGTAATAGAAATCAGTCGTAATGAAAATCAATCGTAATGAAATCAATCGGAATTGTAATGTTATTCCATTGATGTTGTTTACCAGAAATTTTATGGAATTGTAATCAGAATTCCTTTGATGTTGTTTACTAAAACTGTCTGGAATCAGAATCGAAATCGAATATATAACAATTACTAATATACCCTTTCTCCTAATTACAAATATATTATTCTATCTTTTTTAAATTACAATAATAATACATATAATTTTAATTTATTACTATATTTTGATAGTAAATATTTTTTATTATAACAATTTGTCTAATATTAATACATAATGAATAATTAAAAATAAAATTACATCAAATAAATTTTTTTCTATTAGAGCAACCAAACTTTAATATAACAAGTTTTATTATTCTAATATTTAAAAATAATAGTATCTATTTAAAAACTTATTGATATTAATTAATATTAATTTATCATATTGTATAATAAAATCACATCAACTAATAAAAATTGGAGTATAAATGGAGAAGAAATTGTAAAAGTATAAAAAAAACCCTAATTAAAAATTATATGGATCTAATCCATAGATGAGAGATAATGGTAAAAGTGGTACATTAATTATAATATATATGTGAGGTCCACCGAATAAGGAATGAGAATGAGATTGATGGAGTTGTAGGGGTGTAATGAAATTAAATCTTTAATGGATTACAAAATTTGAGGTGGTCCCACCATTTGATTACATTCTTACCATTTTGTAAACAAGAAAAAGAATCAAATTTTTCTCATTACCATTCGTTGATTATGATTGCTTGTAACCGGATAGAACTTTTATTTATTTTTAATTAGTTAATTTAATTTAATTGAATTTTTTTGCCACGAGGCAATCAATGTAAATGGGTAACTTTGTAATTATGTAATCTAAGAACAGTTATGGCTCCAATTCCCTCTTCTTCCCTATAACTTACAACAATACAAAGGTTTTATATAAATTATAATATTCTCACTTCCAACTAGTTTAGAAATTATAACTTATCAGGATATAGATTGTTTTTTTAATAATTAGGTGAAATGTTTATTTTAATTTTATTATATATTTATTTATTACAACTAACACTTTAATAGTTAATTTTAGAATTCAGATATTAATATATGTTTGAAAGATTTACCAAAAGAATGAGGATATAAATTTTTTACATAATTATTCAAAACAAATAATCCACTTGTATGTATTATACAAATATACATAGTTGATAACTGTGGGATGCATACATAATACCACACTTAGAATCATTTATAATATAATTAATGTCTTAAATCAGTTATTTGAACATGTCACTTTGATTTTAAAATAACTTAGGACCATTAATAATTTTGATTTATATCTCTCAAGTAAAAATCTTATCTAAAAATCTTTTTCCTTAATAATTTTATTTTAGAAGTCTTTTAATTAATTAATTATATTTTTATTTTATTATTATTTATTTTTTCTGAAGAGCAACTACACCAGATAAATGTCCACTCTATAATATGTTTATGATCCACTTGAAGAAGATTAATTAAGCAAAGGAAAAAAAAAGGTTTTACATTATTTTTTGGATTGTTTTGTACCATGCTCTTGACCTTATTATTTAATCATTTTATGTTATATTAATTGTGAAGCCAAACATAAAAGGATGATTATATTAACTTCGTTTGTACCATTTTTCAAATTTTGTTTTTATTCTTTTAAATTTTTATTTTTAACCCATGAATTTATTTTATTTTTTAAATCAAAGAAATATCATATACGGAACACATTATTTTTACAGTTAAACTCTCTCGATTATATTTCATATGGAATTAGATTTAGATAGTATTTAAAGAATATATTGTCATTACTCATAAAAAGTAAAAAATAAAAAGTTGTAACCAATAATAAATAATCTTTCATAGATCTTTTAAAATGTTATTGTTTATAGTTTAGCCAAACAATCACTTTTTTTGTGGGGTTCAAGATGTTGCATTCTCCCAGCTTTTCCATACTGCGTTGACCAACTTTTATAAGCCCCGTTGTTGTTGTTATTATTATTTTCTAGGTTTTATTAACCAGTTAATTGTATGTATAATATGTTTTTTTTGTCTTCTTTTAAATAAAGAGTTTTATTCATGTGACAAAATCTCTAAGATTAATCTTGTAAAGATGATCTCTACGTGACTATGTCTTGTTAGAATTTTATTCATATATCTCTATATTGATAGGGTATTATCCATTTCCGGATATAAAATTACTTTTAAAATACCCTTGAAATTATTGTTACTTCTTTATGATCTCAAAGATCTTCTATTTACTCTACTCCATGGTGTAGAACTTTATTCACATCTCTAATAAAATGAATGTGAACCAGAGTAAAAAATGCGGTTCAGTGTTGGGTTTAAAATGGGGAGAACATTATTAATTAATTCATGTATTTTTTTTGAATGAATGATGTGTCGTTTTTTTACTAGTATGTAATCCTTTAAAACCTTTACACCAATTTTTTAGTTAAAAGGAAACCAGAAATGTGATATGACGGTGAGTTGGATAATAAGAGGTAAAAAAGGAGGTATAGATCAGTTTATGCCCATGTCAATTATGTCCAACAACTTTGAGTTAAAGTTTAAATTATATTATCCTAAAGTTAAAAAAATCTCATTTTAACCCTTAACTTTTAAAATTATTTAAAACAACTTTTCCTTGACTTTCCGTGTTGAAATGAAGATGAAAATTTGATGGGGCGGTGAGAGGGTCTAATTTACTAGCTTTTAAAAATGATGGGGAATCAATTTTTAGGGTTAGGGTAAAATACACTGTTCCTCCTCTCACAATTAAGAGATTTGGGAGGAAACAAAATTTTGATGGGACACCAAACCATGGATCACGAACAAATCTAGGGCCTCCCTCCTTACGATCAATTGACAAAAATTAGAGCTAACAAGGAAACTCAAGACAACCGCATCTCAAGGATAACGAGTTGTTTGATAATTAAATTTATTACCCTTTAAAGATGAAAAATACTCTACTAGCAAGTCCTTTTTTTCCCTCCCAGTTTTTCTCCCAAAATTTTTCTTTCACGAATATATTTCTCTCGCAAAGCTTTCTCTCTAAAATAAATTTAATCTAACACTCCCCTCACTTGTAGTCCAACAAGTAGAAATGAATATTAAATGAGGAGAAAACAACACGGGATTCGAACATTATTAAACGACCAATGAATTAAAAACTTAAACTAATGAGTTAGGATAAATTTATTAATTTATATTAGATAAGATATAGTTTTTAATTTTTACCAATCCATAATTTTTTATTTTTTAAAATTATTTTTTATCATAGTGTGTGGCTTCTCCCATTAAAAGGACAAAATTTTGACTAAAATCCACACTCCAAAATCTATTCCCTCCCTTAATATGCATCATTTTGATTGGGATAAAACCCTTCAACTACCATTGTGCTTACGTGTAACTTCTATTTTACGACTCACCACTATTTTAAATCTCCATCTTTTATTTTAACAGGAAAGTTAATGGAATAATTGTTTTAAAACGCATTTTAAGGATTAAAGGTTAAAATGAAACTCTCAAGATTTAAGAGCTTGAAACTATTTTTCACATGTATACCTCACTTTTTACCACTTAATTATTGTCACGTCACATTTTTATTTTTTCATAATGGAAAATTTGACGGGATTGAGTGTAGAATTGAAAGGAAACCTTTGACATTTTTGTATAATTCAACCTTTATTTTATTATACAAAATTCACTCATTTCATAACATTGAAATTTCATTAAAAGTATCATATTACCAGGATTACAATTTATCTATTATTTTGTTTTTCAAATTTAATTGAGAATTCAAATGCGTAAAAAAATAAAAAAGTGAAAAATCACTCAAATTGTGAGGAAGAAGCATATATAATTCTCAACAACTAGACACTAAAAGGAAATAGTTCTCCAACGGGCTAAATGAACCAAATATTTTTTATAGGTTTGGAGATAGATAGAACATGATTACCATTGACCCAACCCTGTTATACATCATCATCCCTTGTTTCCATTATATACAAAAAAACCCTAGTTTCATAACATAAGAAATTAAATTTCAATAAAAAGTATTATATTACTAAATCAACTATACATACCCTAATCATAATCTTTTAGGACTAAATTTTTTAATCAACTCTCCCAAAAGTCAACCTAAATAACTATGATTTGATCAACAAAACAAAAATCTTTGTACAACTTTCCAAAGACAACGAAAAACCATGACCCCAGCCCCCTTCTTCAAATCTTCTTCATTAGAACCTATATTTATAGCCCCAAGCGGCGGACTTGACAAACATATTAAAGCTAAGACGTAGGCCATGGCACGCCCCTTGCTCCTCTTCACCATTATCATTGGAGTTCTATTTGGGTTCTCCTTGTTCATCTTATGGCTCGTTGCCATCACCCATAAGGTCAAGTTCCACGTCGCCGGCGCCGACCTGACCCAGTTCAACTTGACCGACGACGACCAACTTCTCTACAACCTTGACCTCAATATCACTGCCGGGAACCCTAGCCAACGATTCGGAATTAACTTCGACAACATTCAAGTGGCTGTCTTGTATCATGACATAGAGTTTGGAAACACGACGCTGGCGCCTTTCTACCAAGGCCAAGACGGCACCCGTCTCCTCCGAATGAAGTTTGATGGCCAGCGACCAGTGAAGCTTGACGCTGTGCGGCTTGCTGTGTTCACTCTCGAGCAAATTGCTGAGATCTTTTCGATTCAAGTGGAACTTCGTCTCAAGATTAGGGTCAATGTTGCCGTCGTTAAGATTAAACTCAACCCTAAGGTGGATTGTGGATTTAATGTTCCGTTGCTTTCCCGTAGACGCTCATCGTTTCTTCGATTTCGAATCATTGGCTGCCGTGTCCGATATTGACTCGCTATGTATGTCTGGAGACTTCACTGTTAAGTTATGTTTAAGTTGGTTTGAATTTCTCTCTATCACAAGAGTATATAGTTTGACCTATATGTGTGCTCACTCTTTGTCGTTTGGTAAATTAAAAGTTGAAACATTTACATTGAGAATATATGATTACAATTATGGAGCGAAGATTTGAATTATTTGACTTGTGAAAAAGATTACTAATGTGGTATATACATTGATCCATGTCATATTGTCTCAGGAGTTCAACGTTATTATAGAGGTTATATATCGAGGTAAAAATTAGTCCTTTGGAGAGCATGACGCAGTGGCAAAGACATTGAATCTCTTGGCATCACCTACCATGAAGTATTGGATTCAAGTCATGTGTTGCTTAGCCCAAGAAATAAGCTTATAGAGAACCACACCCATAAGCCACGTGACAACGAACTCAGAAATTCAAAAAAATATCGAGATAAAAATCAACGAAATATAAACATATCAAACGAAATTTCATCCATACTAATGATAAGGTTTCTCATTTAAGTGAGAGATTTTATTGAAATAATTTTCATAAATTATTTGTTACTTACCATTTTTCTAGAAACATATGTACTTTACTATTTCATTGATATTATTATTATTTTTAGAATGTAGGACTTGAATTTTCGATCTGAGCAGTCATACACATTTATTATATTGAATTATGTTCGTGTTGACATATTAAAATATTGTTAATGTGTGTAGCAAAATACTTTTTTTAATATATTCTATAACTTTTTAAATTTAATGTAAAATTGAGTAGATTTCACGTCTAAATTTCTTTTAAAGTTTGAACTCTCTCCGACAAGGGAAAGGGCCATGAGGGAGTGGAGAGATGGTGACATCAGAATTCTCGAAAAAGGTTAGATACATATAGTGTCCAAGTGAAGAGAAATTAATGGAACAGAATTCTCGAAAAAGGTTAGATACATATAGTGTCCAAGTGAAGAGAAATTAATGGAACAGACTGCACATTTTGTAAGGGATACTTTACAACAAATATGGAGACGAGAGATTGAGAACCTCAAACTTAAAAAATGAACAAGATATCTTAACTGCCAAGCTACTCGGCTATGGTTTGTAGTTTATTGTCAGAGGTATGAGAGAAAATTAAAAGAAAAAAAAGGTTTTGCATCTAAAATTAATGATCATTTTTGGTAGGCATGGTATATTTCCAAATCTACAGTGACTTCATTTAATAATTTTTCCCACATGAGGGAAGAAACTTAAAAAAAAAAAAAAAGGAAATCAACCAAGTGTAAAATATTTATTTAAGGGTTGGAAATAGTTTCATCAAAAACCTTTTGGTTTTCATGATCTTCCTAAAATTATTGTTAACAACAATTGTTTATCAATCATTTAATTGATATTTCTATACATGTCGAACAATTTAGTTATTTTCTTTTTAAATATGTAATTTAGTTTTAGACATTTAACATCATCAAAATAATAGTATTGAATTGATAATGTGACATCATATCAATATTATATCGAACTGATGCTATCCTATGAACAATAATTTGATACCACTTTGGATGTTAATATAAAGAAATTGGTTGACATGAATTAGGGCAATTCAAATAAAATGTTAATGATGTGATTAAATAACTAATTGCAATATAATTATGAAAGAAACTCTATAATCTTAGCACTGTAAATGATAATTTTGGGACAAAATTCAGCATGTATCCAACTCACCAACTGTGTTATTGTAAATAATATGCATCTCGAAATTATCAACCCTCTATCCATCCCCGCATGAAATTTTTCGAGGATCGGGTTCTCCATAAGAAATTATCCTCCGTTTTTTAAGAAATTATCAATTTAAATGTTAATTGTGATTAAATCTCTAGGAAGGATTTCCATCTAAAAGGAAAAATACTTAAATTTCTTAAGTATATATCTCTAAGTACACAATTCATCAAGAAAAACAAATTCTAAAATTTAAATTTCACTATTCAAATTACTAACCTAAATGTAAACCTCACAACACAACTAACCCAAATTTTCAACAAACATTGAAATTTAGAGTTGTGTATATAAACATATAGGCAACGTTGGGAAATTTTTCCCATCCCACCGATGAAAAATAGCACTCCAATCAACCACTATAAAATTTTCGGGATCTGTACTAACCAAAGAGACATTAGGGTTGAATTTTTAATCACCTCAATGATAGAGGTTCAAGATCGTATGCAAGATTGGAAAAAGAGAAAACATTATTGCCCCAGTACTATGCTACCACGTCATTTCAAAATTTCTTAATCTGAAATTCGAATTAAAAAATTTAGAAATGACTGAATGCAAAGCGAAGCAAAAAAGGGGGAAGGAGGGCAATTTTTCCACCCTTAATTTATCTCAACTCAAAACGTATATTTAAAATACTTAAGGTTTTTGTAACTTTAATCTATTTTATTTGTTACGGCAACTTATGACCTTCTGATTGTGGCCGACCAATATTGGAGAATAGTCGACCTATGAGAGAATGTGACAGATCTATGATGAAGTGAGGTGTGTAAATGAAGACCTGCACAAAGAGAGTAGGCACTCCAACGCTCGAGTCAATCTCAAACAAAGTATTGTTTTTGAGATAAGCTAATCAGAATTGCATACATGTGTCAGAAACAAAACCTTAGTATTTATAGCGTCTAACAGCGCTTGTCCCAGTTAGTCAACCACTTAGCACGATGCGTGAATCACAAAGTGTGAATTCAAGGATAGTGGCAAGTTAGGAGTTGAATAGCAATTAGAGGTGATGATATGGTATAGCTCAGATCGATCAGAAGTGGTCAAACCATATCCTTGATGTTAAGAGATCCCATATTGAAAAGATAGGAAACCTAACAGGAGTTTATAATGTGAGTGCGCTACTTCCCCTCATTGTCAATTTATTTTAAGATGAAACCGCATAGATATTAATATTGATAAAATGAACAATTCATTCCATAGCGGAATTATTGAATCGACATTAAAGACCCGAATCTTTCCACAAGACGTTCCGCTATGACTTGAACAATGGACCAGAGAGAGAATGAGCTTAGAATCTTTTTTTAATATCATATATTAAAAAGTTTGGATCCTTCAATTTATTCGGAAAAGAAATGAGAGACAAGAAAACATCTTTGATTACGATTAAAAGGAACAATCTCAAATAGACCAAGACCCAATTTCGGGTCATTTCTTGGTGAACATGATCTGCCATAATATCTTCGATCCCTTCATTTATGTGCCAGAATAAAGAGAGATTTGGTAGGAAAGTGGAAGAGACTTTTTTGTATATAATAATTAAAGGGAGTGGGAAAGCTGCTGTAATTCTTTGGAAAAGCCCGGTTCTCTTTGTCTTCGAGCTTTCATTCCTCTACTAGTTCTGGAGTCAAGTAGCATTTTACAACTGCTTTTGATATATAGCTGTCTCTTATACACATCTTTCCTTCCTCTACTAGTTCTGGAGTCAAGTAGCATTTTACTACTCATCTACTTACCCTATAATGGGAATGAGTAAATTTCATCTTGTGAGATTATGTTCCCTAGCTTCCGTTTGGCCACGTCCCCAAAATAGTAGGCTTATTGAATTGGACACAAAAACCATTCTCACCCATGTAAATCAAAGCACATGCCCTCACAAGCAGGAGTTCATAAATCACTCAAGATTAAAATCGAGTCACATATGATCATCTTGTGAAATAATTATCTGATCTTTTAACGAATTTACAAATAAAGATTAAATACTTCGCGGTCCAGTCTTATACAAACTTATTGTATATATGATACCTCACTCACATGTCTCCACATGAAAAATTTTGGATCAAATCATCGGTAACATTTACAAAGTGGGCCGCATTAATAATGTTACCAAGATAACACACCCAACCTTATCCATATACTATAGACTGTTTAGATTATAATTTGAACATGATCTTCTTGTACGTCAACTACATACTATTCAAGATTACATTTATAACCTTAGATTTTCATAAAATTCGACAATATTTGCACATAACAAAATAAAATAAAACAATTGTTTTATTCATAAATAATTGAAATTTTCAAACTACGAGACTTTAGAGCATAAATCCTAACAAATATGGTATTAGAACCCCAAAACTCAAACGAGCATTAGAAGGATGGATCCCCATGAATATTATTAAAACTTGACAGAATTAATTATATCATTGGCGTCGATCTATAAATTAATGCCGATGTATATATATATATATATATATATAAGAAAAGGGGACCGAGGCTTCGTATCTTAGCTTATGGTCTGCTATTCTTATCAGTCCACGCGTGTCATGCAAATTTTAATCACCTAATATCATTCTTCCAAAATTTTTAAAAATTAAAGATTATTATATATTACGATTTTTCACCGAGTGGGTGGATCGAAGCAATTGCAGCGAAGAATTGATCCGAAACGAAGCACTTTGTCTATGAGCATTGTAGAAAGAATAGAATGACCCTAAATGTTAAAATGCAAAATTTTGATGCTCTGTATTAAAGATCTCATGTTGAAAAGATAAACGATCTTACAAGAGTTTATGATATAACTGTAATAATATAATCTTTAATTTTGAGATAGAACCTATAAATATTAATACACTTAGACAATTCTCGCTCCCCCTCTACTCCCATGATAGGAATCTTGATCAACATGACTCTAGCACTTATTGTTGGAACTGTAGGAGAAATTAGATGAAAAGAGATTTTTTGTGCCGTGGAAGAACCACTGCCTTAAAAGCAATTTCGACACGACTATGGTGCTAAATCGTATGTACACATGTGATAAATTGTATGTACGTCGGTTACTCCCCAAGATTAACATAACACCAACTCAGACGTGCACTCGTTAGAGCAGATTGGAATCGAGAGACTAGCTCAAAACTCTTGTAAAGAACTGAGGAAAATAAACATTAGAAAACATGTGGAAATAATCTTTTGTAATTCTCTCTACTTCCTTCAAAATCAACATATCCATATATATGGGTAATAAGCAAAACGTTATTAATAGACTGAATTAATTTATAACCGTTACAACATTTATAAATTAATGTCATGAAAACTAAATGTTTAATTATTAAAACAACGGTTATTAAAACACAATAAGCTTAGTCTCAAAAAAAACCAATTTGTTTGGTAAAACTTGATCT